ACAGTATACTGGGTTGTATTAACAGTAATGTCACTTGCAAATCAAGGAAAGTGATTCTTCCACTCTATTCAGAACTGGTGAGGCCTCATCTTGATTACTGTATCTAGTTTTAGGTTCCACACTTCAAAAAGTATGTGGACAGATTGGAAAGTGCACCAGAGAGCAGCAAAAATTATTAGAAGCCTTGGAAGTATGACATATGAACAGGCTTAGCAGAATTCAATTTTTAATAATTTAGATGGATAATATTGATGTTTATTTTAAGCACTTATTTCCATTGTTATTGATTTCAATTAAATTAATAACATAAAGATCTTCTGCCCTGGGATGGAAAAAAATACAACGAAAAGGTCAAGAAAACCCCAAAATTTGTCCTTTCTATTTGGAGTCTTTTTCTCCACTTACCAGTCTCACCAGTAGCCTGCTTCACCTCTTTTTACAGTGTGCCACCAGTTCTCTGTAGCCGAGTTGTCTCACTCAAGCATCAGGAACCTCCCTGCCACTGTTTTGTATGCCTTCCTCTACAGCTGCTGTTTCAGGTCCAGCTCAAATACTCTTCCCCCACATTCCCCTTTTCTGGGTTTCAGGTAGGGGTTTAAGTAGCCTGCTATCTCTGTCCAGAGGTGCACTTGTGAGTAAGCAGTTAATTGCTTAATTGATAAGTCATTAGGCCACCCCCTGTTTTCCACTTTAAAGAGACTGGCCTTCTATACTCTAGCGTGCAACTCCCTTCTGTGCTTCCCCTCCTTTCGATTATTAACAATGGAAATGTTTTTCATCAGCCTCTGTGTGTGAAGTTAAATTGACATTTAGCAATGTGTACTGATAAAAATCAAATCCTGCCAAGCCTACATATGAGGAAAGGCAAAAAGAGCTAGGGTTGTTTAGTCTGGAGAACAGAAGACTGAGCTGGGATTTGATAACAGTCTTCAAATACCTAAAGGGAGATTATAGAGAGGCTGGAGATGGTCTTTTCTCTGTGACTGTAAGGGACTACACTAGGAGCAATGACCTGAAGCTACAATAGAGGAATTTAGGTTGGAAATAAGGAGGAATTTTCTGACTATGAGGATGCTCAACCATTGGAACACACTATCTAGATAAGTCATGGAACGTCTACCTCTGGAAATTTGACAGCAGGGTGCTGGACTAGGTGACCTTGTGAGATCCCTTCCAGTCCTGTTCTTATAATCCTAAAATCCTATAACAAACATACAAACTGTGTTTCAGAACTGTTCTCTATCCTGTGATTTCCTTAAATTTGTTGTTCATTCAAAATTATTTGCTGAATAATTTCTGGAAATAGACCTTGATCTGTAGTTGATTCACAAACAAAACACTGTGAATATTCTACATTAAAAATATTTTTGCTGGCTTTGACGTTACAAATAAGTAATCTAATCTGTCCTTTTAATTCTGATTGCTAAAATACTAAACTTCAGTAACTCCATGCAGCCCTAATCGTACCCCCTTTGTCCAGTAATTTTATTTTCTAATGTCAAGCTAAGTGTATCTTCTGTTTATTAGATAATTGTTCTTGCCACTTAACCTTTTACTATTTACATATAACGCTTCCCCCATAAAGACCTCAGAAGCCTCTTCTGTATTAAAACTGCATATGCAGTGAGGTGCAGTCAGTGAACCACACTGCAAACTTCTGCCCTGAACTTGCATGTCATGGAGGGATTGAAGCAATCCACTTAGCCAGCTGGGATGCCATCAATGGTCCATCAAACCTCAACATTCAACTTTAATTAAACTGTACCTTCTCTGCCATTGCTTGCCTTAGTCATCCAAAAGAAGATGATTAAACTAACAATAAGGGCATACTGTCTAATGCTCAAAGTTAGAAAATGTCAGAATTGAGGCTGTCCATGCCATCTTAATTCAGCTTGCTTGTGAATATGCATTATAATACCTTTTAATCAGATGAGCACATGCTAGGTTTTTCCACAAGATGCTGCCTCACTCAGTGCTTTGACTAGAGAGTGAATGAGGAAGGGTTGTGGAGTGAATTCAGATGTTTCAGAAAAAAACGTTTTTAGTAAATTTGATTTAAAAAGTGAGCATCTTTTCCTTTACTGAAGCAAAAGTGATGAGCACTTTAACACCTTCTCACCATAATGAATTTCTGAATCAGTATATGCTGCCAGGCATGTTGTTGTGACCTACATACCATTTCTGAACCAACCACAAGTTAGCATGTTCATACCCAGAGTAGAGAACAGTAAACACCTACAGTAGCCTTGCCATTAGAACCACCATGCAGTATGGGTGTAGATAAACTTTAAAAATTACCATCTTCCTTTATAAATGGCAGTGGTTTGCAAGTCTCTCCTCCTCTTTGTGCCTCATGTTTCTTTTTTGGGTGATATGTAGGTGTATTGCATGCAAAAGGGGTTTTTAGAGTGGGGAAGTGGGCTGTAATGGAGGATGGATATATATAAGGAAATGATTTTGGGGTCTGACACTATTGAGGTGCCACCTTAAATTTTTTCTCTGTGCAGATGCGCTCAATTCCTGCTAAGGGTACGGTAATTCAGCAGGCACAACATGACATGATGTGGAATCAAAAATCCAATATACTTTATTCAACTTTCACACTGGCATGAATCAGAAGTCCATGCACCGTGTTTAAAAGAAACTCAACTTCTGTTTTTAAATAAACCTGTTTCCTAGTCCTCATGGTTGTGAAGAAAAGCTGGAAGAGGTGGAGTGCCACAGAAGAACATAGAAACCGGAAGACAAATTAAAAGAACCCCATTTAAGAAAAAAACCAAAAAATATGATTTTTAAGGGCCTGAGCCATGATTTTGAAGGCTGGGAGTTCAGTTCAACATTGAATTAATTGAAACAATACAGTCTCCTGACAGCGCATAGACTGTCCTCTGTCACCTGGCAGCCAAGCTTTTATTTTGTTGGGCACAAGAGGAGGTAATGACTATCAACAGGAGCAGTGGCTTTACAGTCTCTGTAGGTGGCAGTGAGAAAACAGTGTGGTAATGTTATGAAACTGGTTCTGCTTGGAACAGTGGAACAAAGCTTTTAGACTGAAAAAAACCCAAAGATACATGAGTTTACTCATTATCATCCCTAGATTGTGAGGACCATGAACTACTGTTTTTCTATTTGTATTAAACTTTATTAAATTTATTGTTGATTATAGCAAAATGTAGATGATCTTACACCATCAAGGGAACTACCAGCTCTTGGAAGTGAATCAGAATCGGTCTCCCTGGGTCACCAGCTGTTTAGAGTTCCACTCATGGTACATGATGGACTTCAATAAGGTCACTTACGTGTAGTCAAGGGCTATATTTCCTGGGTCACAAACATCACTGCTTCAGAAACATAGCTCAAAGTGCAGTGGAGGTAAAAGTGACCCTCAAGGTGACTCGGATCTATAGGTTTGCTGATTTGGCACATGCTCTAAGTATGATTTAACGCGCAAATCGAGTTGCTGTTTCCAGCAGGACAAACTGGAAGTTGTACCAGGTCTAACACAGAAACAGACTGTTCTAAGCAGTATTGTATGCAATTGTGAACAATAATCCTGTGCTTAATTTCTGAGAATGTGCAGATGATAATATCTTCACTGGGCTGGGAACTGAGTAATTAAAATGCAGTGAAATATTATTTTGTTTCTCCTAGAGTCTTTCTCTCTCTTCCCACCCCACCCCACTCCTTCCCTCCCAGTCAATGTTTGCAATGCAGCTAAAAAAAGAAGAGATTCCAAAAGCAAATAAAATGTCATTACTTCTGGTCTCCAATTCCTTTTCCCACATTTAAACTCCAGGCTTCCCTACTGCACTGTACTAACTGATGCCCTTAGATTGGAAACCTCTTTTGGGGTTAGACATTCAGTAGTTGTCTTGCATTCACTGGACGCATCTAAACAAGACACTTACTGTGCATTGGCCTAATAACAGTGCACAGTAGTGTGTCACAGCAAAAACTGTGCTAATAGCCTAATAACACTGTGCAGAAGGCTAATGCACAGTAAGCATCACTAAATAAGTATGTGCTGATGCTACTGCACAGTAACTTTAGGTACTGTGCATTTAGTTAGTGTTTTATTAAGGAAGTAGTAAATTAAATGCGCAGTATCTAAGGCACATTAATGAACATGTAAACATGCCTACTGAGTACTCCAAATCAGGTGCCTTCTGCTGCCTCCTTATCTGCTTTGTGGTTTTTGTGTTAGGATAAGCCATATTATATTTCCTACCACAACCTGTGATAAAAAACATCTGATACAAAACAATGTTTACAACCACATTTAGAGAAACAAACTATAAAAAATTGTAGATAGAGTTAAGAACCTCCCTAGATAAAGTTAATTCTGGCACCCTTTGGAAGATGAAAGCAAAAGCAGTACTTTCTTACATGCTACTGAAATGCCAGCACCAGTGAAATCAGCAGTTTTGTGTTAATTTTGGTGTGACCAAGCATCAGTCCATGAAAGGGCTGCTCTCTTTCCCCCTTTTAATGCAAGTGTCTAGTTTCCCACTCTGAATCAGTGTACTTATTTCTGTGCCTGTGTCCCCCTTCTCTCTCGCTACACTTGATAGTTTGGAGAAACTTTAATGTGGAGAATGCCAATGCCCTAGTGGAGAAAACATCAGCAATGGCTGTTAATGTTCTGCATCTGTGTCCTTCCTTACTCAGGATACTGTATTGGTTATATATTCCAGTTTTATTGTATACTGAAGGGAACTCTGCTTTTCATTTTCTGTTCCCTAACAAATTGTATTTCAAAAGTTCTTTTGAGCCCTTGCAGGTGAATACAGCATCATAGGGTTAGAAGGTCCAACTCCCTACATGAATGCAAAGATTTGAAAGGAGGCAACTGCTGAATATTTTTCGATGAGTTCAGTCTGTAGCCAATAGACTTTCCTGACAGTTTTTTTCAGCTTCTGGCCAACATACAGCTTGCTTTCTTTGGTTTTGTCCTTTAAGGCCTGTGATGAAAATGTTCTCTTAATCCCTGATTTTTACAGACAACCGCCAGTGTCCATGTTGGCATCGAGTTGTTCTGACCATTGGCTGTGTTGGGAACATTGTCCTGGTAGCTGCTCTAACAGTCCTGAGTGTCATGGGTGAGTAGCTGCCCAGAGTCATGCTGTTATTTATTCCCATACCCACAGGTAATCGTAGCCCACACAGCAGTGTCCATCAAAATTCCTGGTGTGTTCCATACCTAGCATGGATGTCAGTATTAGCATAGCACCTACTAGTGGTTGATTCCCTGATCTTTTTCACAGCATGCACATTTCAACTGTCTTTTGGCCAATTCCTTTTTCATTTTCAGTGAGATACGCCTTGTTTCTTTCTCTTATCAGCTGCATAACATCCCCATGACAGCTCAAACAAAAGCCAAAGCAATGTTCTGAAAATTTTTAATACATTGTTAGTTGGCTTTAAATTTGATATGCCAGTGACAAACAGGGAGAGGAACCAGTTACATGGGAGGAAGCCTCAATGGCTTACTATTGGTGGTCCAGGAACTAAATTTAAGGACCTGTGTATTAAGATTACCACAAACGTTTAAGAACTTAATAAAGGAAATGCCTGTGACTAAATGTTACAGGGGTGTAGGTTGTAGCTGTGTTGGTCTAAGGACATAGGCAGACAAGTTTTTTTGGTAAATCTGATACCTTTTATTAGACCAACTCAAGTAGTTGCAAAAATTCTTTTTAGTAAGCTTTCAGGTATAAGTACCCTTCACCAGGCTAAGGAAGCATCTGCAGTTGGTGTGTGCTCTTCCTGGAACCAACTGCAGATGCTTCCCCAGCCTGATGAAGGGTATTTATACCTGAAAGCTTGCTAAGAAGAATTTTCCCAACTATTTGAGTTGATCTAATAAAAGATATCAGATTTACCCAAAGAACCTTGTCTGCCTGTGACTAAGTGTGACGCCTTCTTTAATAAAGATGAAGAAAGTGAAATACATGGTGTGACTTCTAACAAATGATTGTATTTTCTTCCCTCCCCTCCCCTCCAAGATGTAAACACACACACACACACACACATATGTAACTGAATGATCTGTATTACAATCACACACCCTTGGCTGCCTCTATTCATCTGGTTGTTGTTTGGAAGTGTTCCAGGTCTGCTCTTCAAATGCCACTAGCAGTAACAACACTCAGCTCGTATCTCATCTAAGACAAAGTCTGTGTGAACCACAATATAGCAACTCAGCAGGTAACCACACCACATTCTAATCACCTACTATATATGGCAGGATTTGCTACCCTATATTAGTGGGGTGATACATCTTCAGGTGTTACTAATGTTAGGCAATGCATTATCCTGCTAGGCAGTGAGCTCATAATTCCTTTGTAGGAAAAGGATGGGGGGAGGTTTAAGATGTCAGAGGGTGAAGCATGTTCTGCTGTTTTGTCAGCAAGGAGAGTTATAGAAAGGTCAGGAGGCAGGGAAGATAAGACAAGGGAGGAAAAGAGAAAGGTATTAGAATTGTTACTTCCAACCTTTATACCAGTGATTCTTAACCAGGGTGCTGAGCACTCTGGGGTGCTGCCAGATCCTTTGAAGAGTGCTAAAGGTGTGAGGAGTAAGCACACAGGTAGGCATGAGCTAAGTAGATAAATGCAGTCTTAGGCTTGTCTTTGTCTGAATGATCCCATACCCCCAGTGCCTGGCCCCTCTGCAAGGTAAGCACTGTAATATATCAATTCTTTTTTTTAATTGGGTGCCACTCAATTCACAGAAGTTATGGAGGGGTACTGCAAGCTCAGTGAGAGGTGCTTTGAGTCCCAAAAGATTGAGAACCACTGTTTTATACAATCTGTATCCACAATTCTCTTGAAGTTAACCCAGACACTGCTTCCTTATAAAGGCAAGTCTCAAGGCACCCTCAGCTCCAGGACTGGGTCTTTGGGGTCACAACATAGCTGCCTGTCTATGTGGTGCCCCGAAAGAGTCTAGACCAGGGATCAGCAACCCCTTGCACATGTGCAAAAGTATGGCACACAAGGCCATTTTCCTCAGCAAGCCATAGCTGACCCAGACTCTGTGCAATGTCTGCCAGCAGCTGCCCAGAGCCCAGACCAGCTGCAGGCAGGAGGCTCCAAACAGCTGCATGGGGCTCTGTAGCCCTGGCATTGCTGCTGTGGCTGCACCAGTTGCCTGCTAGACATGCCCAGAGTCCAGGTTGGCTGTGGAAGGCAGCTAGGAGGCTGCAAACAACTGCACAGGGCTCCAGAGCCCTGGCACTGGCTCCATAGTGGTGGCAGGTGCACATGTGGCTCACAGTGCATGGCAGAGAAGGAACTGGGGCAGTGCAACCCTGGCCCTTTCCCTGCCATCCATCTAGAGGCACACGTACAGCCATTGAAGCAATGAGGATTGGGCCCCTTGTGGCTCCCCCATTTCTGGCATGCCAAGTCAAGGCATTGGTGGAGTTTGGATGATCTCAGCACTCTTGGCCAAAAGCATTGCTGACCCCTGGTCTAGACTACCCAGTTTCTTGTTGAGGTTGTACCCCTATAGGGAAGGAATGTGGCCAACAGTAATGGCAGCCATGGAAGTAGCCTTCCCTGCAACAGGCCAGCATTTGTTACCTGGAATAGAGCAGGCAAAGTCCTTAGGTCAGTATGGGATGGCAGAAACTGGGTGAGTCATCAGCATGGAATCTGGAGTCACTGGGGAGGAGAGAGAAAATCAGGAATTGGAGGGAGAGAGAAAGCAATGTGCAGGAATTGGGTGGACAGTAGGTGACAGTAATATAGAAGGGGAAGTGGAAAAGGATTGGATGCTGCTCAGAAGATGAAAAATAGTTGAAAGAGGAGGAGGGTAGAGTTCAAAACAGTAGGGAGGAGGGAAGAGAAACCTAACATCCCTACCATGGCCTGATAAAGAGTGGGTAATGTAAGAGAAGGAGATCTCTCCATGAGAGAGGGAGGCTGAGTGTGGGACCCATGAGGGTCTGGAAGCCTACTGAGAGGCTGAAAGTGGGACCAGCGAGGGTCCAGGAACCCTAGAGGAGGAGCTAAGTGAAAGAGAACATCAATGAGGATGCCATCTGTGAGGCATGGGGCACAGTGTAGGGAAAGAATGGAGCCATGCAATTAGCTTGTAAGGTAGGGGCCATGGGCACTCGATGGTTGTTTGAGAGCAAAATTGGGAAACCCTGGGGCAGCCTCCGATGTAAAGAAAATAAACATCAAGGTGAGGCGGGAAATTGAAGAGGTAATTGCCCAGAAAGCAAGGACTCCGGGGTCTTAGAAGTTCCAGAAGCTTTCCTTAGACCAGCTCAACTCTGTAGCCCAAACTCCCAATGAAACTTTGTTCAAAAAGGAGGCGAGAAGGGCAGACCCTCAAGAGACTGACTTGGTTAAACCAGAGAAGGAACAGTGGAACAGCAATGCAGAGAAATGGAAAAACCTTGCCCCTGGGGACAGGAAACTGTCCCAGAGATGAATGAGGGACCCACCCACCTACCCTATTGACAAGAAATTTCCATTTCCTCACCCTACTCTTGTCCCCCCCTTTTTCTGGTAATCAATCACAGCTATTGACATTAACCTTCCTACCCTTAAAAATGAGTGGCTACAGGAAAAAATTCAGCTCAATTTCAGTCTCTGTGATTGCAAAGTAAAGCTTGAAAACACGACCTTATTGAGCCCAAAGGCTCTGAATCTAGAAGGCAAAGGAAAAAGAACCCCACATTTTTTCTTAGGTCTCTAAGTTTCTGAGTGGAGGGACCTGACTCATAATTTTTAAACATTTGGGAATGTCAATACTGGGCTTGCCTGCGTCCAATTTGGATTCTCAGTCCTACCCTGGCATTCCATCCCACCTCTTTACAATTTCTGGGCTCTCCACACAGCTCTGCCAGTTCCCCTCAACCCTGCCCTGTAGCCTCCTAAATCTCCCAGTTTCTTTACCAGGCACCTAGAGCTCTGGAAGTGCCTCTGAGAGATTTTAGACCTTCCATTTTAAAAAAAATATATCCTGATTGGTTAATGTGTTCAGTGGGAAGTGCCCATACTGCGGCATAAGGAGAGTTTGAATCTGATATCCCCTACAACTTTTGTCAAATCTCACTCCTGTCTTTTCTCTAAAAGGAGCCAGTTGTAACCTCTGCCCTCTACAATGGTTGCTGCATCTCAGAAAGTGCTACTGGGTTTCAAAAATAACTGGGAATTGGAGCAAGAGCCATGAATATTGTTCATTAAGGAAATCCCATTTACTGGTGATCCATAACTCAGCTGAAATGGTAAGAGTAAAAAATAATACTGAGACTTCAAAAGCATGTTTTTTGTTAATGACAATGGACCATTTAATTTTAAATAAAATGTTTGAATAAGTTGTTGGGTGGATCAGGACAGGGGAAGAGATTAGCTTTTTTCTGCATGTATCCAAACCAACTGGAGGAAATATGTAGGGATGAAACACAGAAAACCAAAGCACACCCTAGTGGCAGCTGGGTGAAACAAAACGTTTTTCCCCAGAGACTGAAGCCCAATAATCATAACTTGTTTATCTGTATATGTTTAACAGGGTTTCATCACGAATATTACAAAAAGTAAAACCCAGGTTTGGATTGGACTTCATGCAGCATCCTCCATGGCAAAATGGAGCTGGGTGGATGGCTCCTTCTATGATGACAGCTTGTGAGTGCATCCTGGTCTTCTCTGTAAGGCTGGGCTAAACTTTCAATACACTTAAATCCCAAAGGAGAAGAGTAGATATTAAGAGAGAGTGAAGTTGTCCCTGCCTTTCCTGTTCTTACACTTTCACCAGATGAAGTGAGCTTGGGCTCATGAAAGCTTATGCGTCTCTGATTAAGTTAGTCTGTAAAGTGCATCTCTCCCCTGCCTTTCATCTTACTTTTGGCTAACGCGACAACCTACCCAGAAGTGCCTGAGTTGTTCAAATACCCAGTTCCATTCCCATTAATATATAAGGTCAAAATCAGAATGTAGCTTTGAAAAATCTTAGCCTATACCTTCTAAGTGATGTACGAGAATGACCAGCATCTGCAAACCATGGACACTGACATTAAACACCTAACTCTCCATTAGGAAACCCAAACTGTAAGTCGCCTGATTTTTCAGAGGTGCTGGGCTCCCACATGTGAACATTCACTTTAGGGAAGCTTATGAAGGATCAACATTTCATAAAGTCTGGTCATGCACAGTTACACATCTAACCTTGGATTAAAGTGTCTAATTTTAGGCACCCAAGGTGACACTTTTAGTTATACTAGCTGACCTCCAACTGTGTTAGAGAAGTCATTTATCTCCTTTTTTGTGAATGGGGATAGTGAGTGAGGTGAGGAAGTTTGCCCAAGGTCACACCAAATAGGCGGTAGCAGTGAGAATGAAACTCTGGGGTTCTTGGCTGCCAACACATGTGCTAACTCCTCCAAAGTACATGCACTGCTTCTTAAGAAAAGACTAGAGCGAGGTAGTTAGCTTTAGACTAACAAACTCAGGCAGAAGACAGGGCAGGGTGGCATTTTTGAAACTAACTAGTTCGGAGAAGCTTCCATACACAACAGCCTTTGTCAAATGTAAGAAGAGAATAATGCACGGACCACTAAAAAGAAACACAGCAAAGGAAGAGAAAGGTTGTTACAGTTGTTTTTGGAATGTTGTTGTCAATACGGCGGCTTATCTTTGTCAATTTTTAGTCAGCTTTAGGATAATGAATGTAGAGCTGGAAGAGACCTCACAAGGTCATCCAGTCCAGTCCCCCTGCTCAAGGTGGATCACTCCTGACTGAACTGCCCCAGCCATTCTTTGCCTAAAGAAAGGTGTGGGCTTCAGCTAAACAGGTCATGGAATTCCCTCTGCGCTGGGTTGTAGCAAGGCTCGGGTTTGCCTTGGTGTAGCAACATCTAAGAGAGAGGAAGTTCAATTTCTATGACTCATGCCAACTGTGGTCTCCTTGCCGAGACTAACTGATGGTGGCATTGTTTTATGTAATGCAAAGAGCTGTTAATGAGACCAACACCCAACTCTCTTTGCTGGTTGAGAGGTAGGCACGTACTGGGACATTTTCGGCCCAATGTCAAAAGCGATGAAAAAAGAAATCATGGCCTAAGCATGGGACATGAGGACTAGTCCTTTTAGATGTTATTTGAGAAGCTTAAAAATGATGTTCTCCCCCATTTCACAGGTTCAAAATGAACCGTCATGACACCTACCACGCTGAAGGAGACCTGTGTGCTATCCTGACACGGCAGAATCAGGTGGTCACTGTTGCTTGCAGTGAGGAATACAAGTGGATTTGCCAAAAAGAAGCTGTTCCTATATAAGCAATGGCATGAATGGCCTGTGCCGTGCCACTGAAATGTAAACAGCGCTTGAGGTTGGTCTTAAAGGACTTTCTCAACTGAATTGACAAAGAAAAAGGTTGGATAGGGGTCTCCTTTTAAATATCATTCCCTTGTTCTATTTAATTAAGAAATTAAGGGCTAGCTTCACAGGAGATGCCCAGTTTCAATCCCTAGGGGCACCATGTTGCTTTGTGGAAAGCAACAGTCCTGAGTTGGACATGTACAGTTTGACATGTAGAGGGCACAGGGCATAGTGGGGATTGAAGACTTACTGGTGAGATTCACAGAAGTCAGCATAGTTAGATGCCCAGTTAGAAAGAGTGGTAGGATCTCCCATCCCCTCAGCATACAGATAACGGGCTGTACCTCCCAGCTGAATTGCAGCTGTCTTCTGTAATGATACAAGGAGGCATTTTTGATAACTTGTTTTAATTTGACAAATTAGGAGCTGATAGACAAGGGGTTACATGCTTAACTGATGCTCAGACAAGACTGGTTGTTCTAGAATCACAAACACCGTGTATCATTATTAACAGTGCATCTGTGTGTGGGAAAGGGCTTCTTTATCAAGTATGGTCATAAATTGCATTAAAATGGAGGTGTCTGTATCTATCCACAACCACATAGCCAGCTTGTCTGATTTTTCAAAATGGGTTTTTCTTCTGTTTGTCAAAGTGTCTGGAAAACAAGCTTTGCGAGATCCCTAGGCACTGGATTACATGTTCACAGAAAAGACCCCACCACAATAGGCCACCCCTGTTCAAACCAGGAGGAATTCACTCATTCAGAGCACAGGAGGTGTGTTTAATGTGGCAAAACCCTGACCTGGGCTCTGGGTTGCCTACTCTGCCATCTCCACATGCCACTCCCTGACTGGCTGGGGCACAAGTTGTCTCAGCATGGGGACTGCCTGCTGGCTAACCCTATGCTGAAGCACTGTGCGCCCCAGCCAGCCCCACTTGCAGCACGTGGAGCAGTGGGACGTGTCCTGCTGCAAACCACGAGTAGGGGCATGTACTGCAGCACAAAGTAGCGGTATAAATTTGTGCTGCTACAAATGCATGCCTCTGCTTGTGTGGATGCAGCCTGGGAGGCCCCGTCTTGAAAAGTGGGTAATAAGTATACATGGCAGAATTAGATTTTTATTTTTTCCATAACTTTGATGGATAACATTTATGTTTATTTTTAAGCATTTATTTCAATTTCTACCAATTTCAATTTTCAGGATTGTGCAAAATAAGGGTGTGTAGGGGCAGGCAATTTAGTAATGACAGCATACTGTCAAAAGCTTTATACAAATGACATGTCAAAATATAAAAAATAAATATCCATAAATCAATAAATCATATCTGCTTTTAATAATTTTGTTCATTTGGTAGTACTTCCTCTTCCTTTGTTCCAAGTCCTTTGGGGTTTCTGGGAGTTACAGTCCAAACTACAGTCAGGATGGTTATGTAGGACTGCTCCCCCTGTTGTCACACACTCCATTAGCCATCACTTTTCTTATGTTCCCTTTCCATAAATTTTGAATATTAATGATGGAAATAGTTTTTGTTGGTCTGTGTGAGGTGAAATTAATATTTATTGACATTTACCAATACAAATAGAATCCTACCTTGTGTAGTAATAAGTAACATAGTCCAGAAAGAGTGAAAGCATTGGCAGAAATAATTTGGAAAATGGTGAATGAAGGCTTTGTTGTACATACAGAATTACAAAAATAATTTAAATGTTTTGAAAAGATTTTTCTTCACATGCCATGGATGGTACAGAAATATTATGATGCTGTGGTAACAATATTAAAAGGTTTCACTGTCATTTGTGATCTGACCTGTATAGGTAACCTGTGGCACCAGTATTCACAAGCAACACTTGCTTGAGTTCAGTCCTGATGCGGAATTCCATCCTTGAGTTTTTCCTCACTTTGCCTTCCCAAGTCGACCGGCCCATTCCCATACCAAACCTCTCTGGAAAGGAGAGCAGAATGACTCTTGCCCAAATGCTGCCAGCATGAAAAAGTCAGTAATCCAGTTCTCATTAGGCATGACCTTGGTCCTTAGATCAGCGAGAAGAGAACGCTTTCACAGCATGACTGTCATGAGAGAACGGCTCTGGCTAGGAGGAAAGGCCTATACCCTGATGCATCACAGAAGCCAGTCCCTATGCTGAAAGAAGCACACCATTAAGAGCTGCAGAGTCTGAGATGCAGTCTGAAACGTTCATCTGTGCTAACAAGGCGACTTCTGAACCAGGGAAAGCAACTGCAGTAGACAGTCTGTAGGAAACACTCCCCTAGGTGACCATAACTTCTGAGTCTTTTTGCTGCCTCTGTGTGTATTCATCTGGCCTGCTGCAGATCCAGTTTCTCTCAGTGTAGCATCCAGAACTACTGACAGCAAATTCATTGAGGTAAGCACAAAGAGAGTTTCCCTTTACTTCAAACCTGCAAAGACACAGAAAAGAATGGTAATCAGCTCAACAGCCACAAAGCAAATAGTCCTCCACAGGCATTACAGAGCAGAGATTGGTGGAGCAAACTTCTGTGTGCTCAAACCATCATGTTCCCCCTCGTCCTGGTTTGTATCATGATTTAGGAAAAACCACTCAAATACTCCACGTTGGAAGAAGAATCCCTCAGTATAAAATCATATTCATCCCTACTCCTCAGTGATCTAAAGAGATCTCAATTTCAGATCTCTAAATTACTGCCATCAGAAGTGCTGCGTCAAAGCTGAGGTGATATTCGAGAATAATTACTCTAGAGCCTGTTGTTCCCCAGCATTTGAAGGCTCAAGGGCCTTTCCATATGCTCCAATCTGAGTCTTCCCCAGTGTCCCATTCAATGGTCTTCCCGGGCAGAATTGGATCAAAAACGTTAAAAAACAAACAAACAAACAAAAAAATCAAACAAGAAATACCATGAAAATGAGAAGCAGCCACTACTAGGAAGGTCTGACCAGGGAGCTAAGAGAGACTCAAGGGCAAACTTCAGCTCCTGCATAACAGCAGCTCTCCTGAAACGCAAGAGTTGTAGAATCCTGCTTATTCCAGGACCAAAGACTAGAACTAAACTGGACAGTACTGCAATCCTGGAGCTAATCTCCCCCCAGGCTAGCTGTGCTTAATGTGTCCATCCTCTAGAGAACAAGGGTCTATAATCTTCCCAGACTATGCAGTGCCATATTTGGATGACAAGGCTCCAGAGAAAGTCCAGTGGACCAGGTGACTCAGAGAGGCTTCTCCCAACTATGATGTTAGGAAGTGCTGTTGTGTTAGTGGTGCTGTCTGTGCAAGAGATGCAAAATCCAAATTTATAGGAAGAAAAGAATTTACCAGTTGTTGAAGTCGGTGCCGTCTGTCCATTTCCATGGCTGCCCTGGCTTTCGGCTTAGTCCGATCCAATGATCAAGGGTGCCCTTATATCGCATTACAAAGTTCTTTTTGGGAAAAAGAAAGTAAAATGAAAATAGGATACCATGGTTTTTGAACCCGAAAGCTTGCTTAATAATTGTTTTCCAACTGTTTAAGTTGGTCTAATAAAAGATATCAGATTCACCCAAAGAACCTTGTCTGTCTATGTCCTTAGACCAACACGGCTACAACCTACACCCGTGTATGCATTACACAGTGCACTCACGGGTGTCTTTGACCCTTCTGTTCTCCCACCTGATTCCCTCTGTAGTGCACAGGAGCAAACAACTTCCCCCAGTCTTAACTTAACTGAAAAGATCAAGACAAGTTGTCCTGCTGGACATGGAACTAACCTCTCTAGAATAACTAGCACTACTTCACAGTCAAGGCGCCTAGGATCTGGAACCAACTTCCAAGGGAAGTGGTGATCGCTTCTACCTTGAGGGTCTTCAAAAGGAGGCTAGATAATCATCTAGTCAGGTTCGTTTGACCCCAGCCCATGGTCTTTCCTGCCCATGACAGGGGTTCAGACTTGATGATCTGCTCAGGTCCCTTCTGACCCTATCAACTATGAAACTAATACAAACTGCACTTTCACCCACACTGGCTCTTTCCTGCTTACCATGTCCTCCTGGCTATTAATCACAGTGAGAGAGGAATTGTATGAAGAGCAGATGCTTTGGCTTAATGTCCAGTTCCCCTCATCCTCTGAAAAGTAGTAGCATTTCCTTCTGTAACCAATCCAACCATCTGGACAGGAAGCTGCAGGGACGAGCAGGTAGGTTACTTGATGGGAAGTGGAAGGAAGTTTGTCTTTTTTAACTGAAAAAATAAAAGTCAAGACACATTGTGGGTAAGAGGGTAGGTATTTGCCTCCTCCACTATGTGTTATCTCGACAGAAACTCAGAGCAGCACATCGGCAACATAAGGAAAGAAAAAACCTTCTCTCTTCTCTATATCTACAAAGCATGAGATAATAATCTCAGACTTATTCCATTTCTACTGCACTTGTGAGGCTAGAGAAGATGCTGGGGGGCGGGGAAGAGGGAGAAGCACATGAGCTACTACAAATAGAAGATTTCACACCTCAGTCAAAGTCTTAACCTCTCTATTGAGTCCAGACATGAGATACATGCCTCCAGCCTTGGCAAAGTCTTTGAAAAAATTATCAAGGCTCACATTTGTGAGAGCCCGGCAGGACAAATTATGATGAGGGGAAACCAGCACGGGTTCGTGGCAGGCAGATCGTGCCTGACCAATCTAGTTTCTTTTTATGACCAGGTTATGAAATGCCTGGACACAGGAGGGGTGGATGTCGTATACTTAGACTTCAGGAAGGCCTTCGATACGGTATCCCACCCCATACTGGTGAACAAGTTAAGAGGCTGTGACTTGGATGACTACACAGTCCGGTGGGTGGCGAATTGGCTGGAGGGTCGCACCCACAGAGTCATGGTGGATGGGTCGGTTTCGACCTGGAAGGGTGTGGGAAGTGGAGTCCCGCAGGGTTCGGTCCTTGGACCGATACTCTTTAATGTCTTCATCAGTGACTTGGACGAGGGAGTGAAATGTACTCTGTCCAAGTTTGCAGATGACACAAAGCTATGGGGAGATGTGGACACGCCAGAGGGCAGGGAACAGCTGCAAGCAGATCTGGACAAGTTGGACAAGTGGGCAGAAAACAACAGAATGCGGTTCAACAAGGAGAAATGCAAAGTGCTGCACCTAGGGAGGAAAAATGTCCAGCACACCTACAGCCTAGGGAATGACCTGCTGGGTGGCACGGAAGCGGAAAGGGATCTTGGAGTCCTAGTGGACTCCAAGATGAACATGAGTCGGCAGTGTGACGAAGCCATCAAAAAAGCCAATGACACTTTATCGTGCATCAGCAGATGCATGACGAATAGGTCCAAGGAGGTGATACTTCCCCTCTATTGGGCGCTGGTCAGACCGCAGTTGGAGTACTGTGTGCAATTCTGGGCGCCGCACTTCAGAAGGGATGCGGATAACCCGGAGAGGGTTCAGAGAAGGGCCACTCGTATGGTTAAGGGCCTACAGACCAAGCCCTATGAGGAGAGACTAGAGAAACGGGATCTATTCAGCCTCCGCAAGAGAAGGCTGAGAGGCGACCTTGTGGCTGCCTATAAGTTCATCACGGGGGCACAGAAGGGAATTGGTGAGGTTTTATTCACCAAGGCGCCCCCGGGGGTTACAAGAAATAATGGCCACAAGCTAGCAGAGAGCAGATTTAGATTGGACATTAGGAAGAACTTCTTCACAGTTAGAGTGGCCAGGGTCTGGAACGGGCTCCCAAGGGAGGTGGTGCTCTCCCCTACCCTGGGGGTCTTCAAGAGGAGGTTAGATGAGTATCTAGCTGGGGTCATCTAGACCCAGCGCTCTTTCCTGCTTATGCAGGGGGTCGGACTCGATCTATTGAGGTCCCTTCCGACCCTAACATCTATGAATCTATGAATCTATACCATCTCCTTCCATAAAGTACAACTCTACCTTTATTGAATAGGGAAGGCACTGAAATTCATGGCACCCCCATGATAATGACAGGGATATTTAATGCAACTGCTAATAGATGTCTCTCTCACTTCTCTTGGAATTGATGGCAGAATATTTCTGGGAGCTCTTACCTAGGTATGGAAGCCCTACTGCCTCTGTTGCTTACACCTTCAGGGACACAGCACCCAAGAAGCTCCTCTAGAGTACAGTCTATGTTGGCTGACAACAAAGGATAATGTAGGCTACATGAATCTACTTGGTTTTTCCTATCTTCACATACTTCCATAGTTGGTAGGGTCGGAAGGGACCTGAGCAGATCATCAAGTCTGACCCCCTACCATGGGCAGGAAAGAATGCTGGGGTCAAACGACCCCAGCTAGGTGATTATCTGGCCTCCTTTTGAAGACCCCTAGGGTAGGAGCAAGCACCACTTCCCTTGGAAATTGGTTCCAGATCCTAGCCCCCCTGACTGTGAAGTAGTGCCTTCTAATGTCTAGCCTGAATCTACTTTCAGTCGTTATTCCTCATTACTCCCGGAAGTGTTCGGGGGAACAGGGTCTCTCCCATTGCCTGCTGGTCCCCCTTGGCCAGTTTATAGATGGCCACCAGATCCCCTCTCACCCTTCTCTTGTGGAGGCTGAACAGGTTCAGATCTTGTAGCCTCCGTTCGTAGGGCCTGCCTTGCTGACCCCTGATCACGTGGGTGGCCCTCCTCTGGACCCTCTCGATGCTGTCCACACCCCTCCTGAAGTGTGGCGCTCAGAACTGGATGCAGTACTCCAACTGTGGCCTGACCAATGTTGCATAGAGGGGGAGGATCACCTCCTTGGACCTGCTCATGATGCATCTGTGGATGCATGACAAGGTACGGTTAGCCTTCCTGACCGCGTCCCCACATTGGCGGCCCATGTTCATTTTGGAATCAATAATGACACCAAGATCCTTTTCTGCCTCTGCACCAACTAGAAGGGAGTTCCCCAGTCTGTAGGTATGCTGCTGGTTCTTCCACTCCAGGTGCAGTACCTTGCACATGTCAGTATTGAATCCTGTTCTCATCTGTCCACCCCTATAACCTGTCTAAATCTAGTTGCAGCCTGTGCCTCTCCTCCAGTGTGCCCACTTCTCCCCACATCTTAGTGTCATCTGTGAACTTGAACAAGGTGCTTTTCACCCCCTCGTCCAAGTCACTGATGAAGATGTTGAACAGTGCGGGCCCGAGGACTGAGCCCTGGGGGACCCCACTGCCCACATGCCTCCAGGTTGAAAAAGACCTGTCCACCACCACTCTCTGGGTGCGGCCCTCCAGCCAATTTGTGACCCATCTGACTGTGTAGGCATCGATGCTACAGTCCTCTAGTTTTTTAATGAGAATGGGGTGAGAGACAGTGTCAAAGGCCTTCCTAAAGTCCAGAAAGATTACGTCCACTGCGACACCTGCGTCCAAGGCTTTTGTGACCTGGTCGTAGAAGGCCACCAGGTTGGTTTGACAGGACGTGCCTTGAATGAACCCTTGTTGGCTGCCCCTAAGCATGATCTCCCATGCTGGTCCCTCACAGATGTGCTCCTGGATAATTTTCTCAAAGAGCTTCCCCAGGACCGAGGTAAGACTAACGGGCCTGTAGTTTCCTGGGTCCTCCTTCCGTCCTTTTTTGAAAATGGGGACCACATTGGCCCTTTTCCAGTCCTCTGGCACCTCTGCTATGCACTAACCCAAGACACACCCAGGAGACGCTCTCCCTGGGGCAACTGGATTTCCACTTGAGATACTCAGAGACAATCAGGAAAAGGTTATTTTTGCCCAAAATGTCAGTGATCACAAGTACACTAATTTAAAAGAGGCATCTCTGTCTACAAATATAGTGGCAACAGCAAGGGGAATAGGTAGAGGAGAGGCAAGAGGATGACCATGAATTCCAGTGCCTTTCCTGTTCAATAAAGGTAGAGGTACACTTTATAAAAGGAGGTCATATCTCAGGTCTGGACTCAACATAAGAGGTTACAACTTTGACTGCAGTGTGAAATCTATTTGCAGTAGCTCATGTGCTTTTCCCCCCAGTGTCTTTCCCAGAATTGAGCCAGTCTGGTGTGCAGACTTGTAACCAACTAGACTAGTGGTTAGTTTAAACCCTTTAGCCCTGTGGGCCAGAGGACTGGCACAGGGACAGTTTTTGGGCTTTAGAGCCTGATATGGCCCACAAGTATCTCCTCCCTGCCCCACATACCTGGATTGGGCCCTAGGGGCCCAATGCTACCCCCTCCCATCTGCTATGCACCAGGATTGGGCCCTGTGGGACCAGCACTCTTCCCTTCCACCCCCTGAGCACTGGAATTGGGTTCTGGGGCCCAGGGCCACCCCCTCCTACACTCCAGTGCATTGAGATTGGGTCCTATGGTCCTGGTACCACTGCCTCCTGTGCCCCACACACCAGAATTGGGTCCCAGAGGCCTGGTGTTGCCTCTTCCAAGCCCTCAACACCAAGATTGGGCTGTGGGTCCCAAGTGCTGCCTTTGTACTGCCCTGCATGCTGGGATGGGGTGTCCCATCCAGCGTACAGGGCCCAGGGGCTTCCTATGGGTCTGGAAACTTGGCAGCAGGAGAGCAGTGGCACTGTTCCCCTGCCACCAAATTTCCAGACCTGCGGGGTGTCCCACAGGCCAGATGACATGGTAGAGCAGGCCAGATCTGGCCCAAGGGCCTAGGTTGAGCACACCTGAATTAGAGAGATAATCCATCAGTACAGAGAATATCCAACAGGATATTTTTGTATGTAACACATTGTGGCAACCCATTAACAGACACCACAGGTTGTTAGGCAGTATCAAACATCAGACCAATACCACTTGAGCTAAAGCAGCTTTTATGTGCGAGTCACTAGCAGGATGAGAATTGTTGGTGGCATCAGTGACTGCAACACTCTACAAGGACACAATGATCCACTGAATTATATATGCACCATGCTAGAAGGATTGGGGAAGGGGCAGGGTGCGGAGAATGGACAAGGAGGAAGAGGCAGAACCAACACTAAAGCCATGGAAACTGCAACCTTAGTGAAAAGCAAAGGTGGGCAGGAAAGTTCCTCACTCACCTCCCAGAGCAGCAGCCAAAGCAAAAATGATGATCAAAGTGAGGATAATGAAGATAGCCACAGTACATCTCCGGAACATGTACACAGTCTGAGTCCCTGAAAAATAAAGTATTGTTAATTATCCCAGCAGAGGGATGTGCTGATGGGTACAGAGTGCTGTTTCATAGCAAAACCTCATTTATTAACTATTTCCTGTCAGTGGAGGAAAAACATCGTGGATACAGCTCTGGAGCTATGAGGCTACACTGTGCTATTTTAAGATATTACAGCTGCAACTCCCTGTAGAAATCTTACTACTTTGTTTAGGAAACACTTTGGTTAGTCAGTATTAAAAGCATAATTCACTACTGGTTATTAATAAAGGTACAGAAGAACAAGATAGAGTTAGGGTGATGTTGCAGCTGGGATGATTCAGGTGAAACATGAGAGAAGGATTTTTGTGGGTGACAGCTTTTACTGGACCTACTGTATAGCTGGGTATAAAATAACTTCATACCTGAAAGCTTGTTCATATCCCTTCCCAACTATACAGTGGTACCAGTAAAAGATGTCATCCATAAAAATCCTTTCCTCTTACAGAAGAATCTAGGTCATTTACATCTAGGTGAATCACAACCCATTTAGTTCACAGTTGGTTGCTGAATTAAAGACAATTCACTCAGGTGTTTGCTAGGGTCTTTTTTTCAAAGGATTCTTCATTTAGCTGGACTTCAGCAGCAACCCAGTAGAAAGTGCTAGCTATAGCTCTGTATACCCCTGAATACTTTCCAAACTCTCAATTTAGCAGGTAGTTTGGAAGCCAAACCCAGTGGTATTAGCATGCTACTGTACTGACCTGTTAGCTTAGTGAACTGTTTGGCATCTTGTAAATGTAGTGAAGATTTCAGAGAGACTGTTGTGCAAGTGGTTGCATCAAGATAGTGATGACTGTTTATCCATGAGTGATTAATCATATTATGAAATGTTGAGAAGATGGATAACTACTGATAATCACTTGTGATTAAGTAGTCATTATCTTTGCCAATCCCTGTGGAGTGAGGAATCAACAGTGGTTTACTGTCCCTTTACTATATCACAAAAGCATAAAGACACAGATCCTCAAAAGCATTGACTACTGCAGGTGAGTCTATTGCAACTCAAGAAGAGATAAAGAATTAAGGGACTTCATTTATATATCCAGTAGGAACTGTAAGACCCTTAGATCTTCTAGAGATAAACAACCATAACCATAACACCGCCTCGCAGTTAGAACTATACCCTAGACCTTAAAACATAAGGGTTACTCCCTTACTTCCTAGTCCATCCTCTTGCTCTTGTATGTACTCATCATGGAGATGATAACTCTACATTACAAAAGTTCTGCCTAGCTTTTGTCACAACCCAAAAGGTGTGATTTTTATTTGTGTGTGCTTCGGCACTGCTAAATTGTCCCCGCTAAATTGCAGCTTCCTTGCACAGTGGAGTTTTCTGCTGCAGAGGAGAACCCCGGTGCAAGGGAGAATTTCCGGCCAATTTGGAGCTTGCTTTGCAGGGTGCATTTCTTTGCTGCAGAGAGGGGATGCTTGTTGCAAAGAGTTCCCGCCATTGGTATGCTAATTCGAGTCCCATTATTGGCCAGTTCTAAATTATTCACACGTGGCGGCTAGTGATTGGCTTGCTAGCCGTATAAGAGGCTTGAGTGGTTTCCGCCCAAGTTGGAGGACTCCACGAACAAGGGAGGAGGAGACTTCACGCTGTGTGAAGATCTCTAAGCGCTGTGGATCCTCACGGACCCAGTGCATTTGAAGCAGGCAACGGAGATCTGATCAATCTCTAGCCTCTCCCCGTCGCCGATAGAATTCCTAGACGTACCCCTCCCGCGCGCTACGAACCGAACCCACGGAGCCTAGCAAACTTCGTGTGGATGAGTAAACGGAAGAACCCACGGAGCCTAACAAACTTCGTGTGAGCCCTTACGATCGGCCTCAGAGCTCTTCTACCCGGGTTCGAGTCCTGCAGGTTTATTTTCTCGTCGCCGGAACCCTATGCGACGTACCCTCGTGTTCTGCAGGTTTGAGTTTTTGTTTTCTTTTCTCTTTCTGTAACCGCAACTTAAGCAAGCTTTCCAGCCTACACCACTGCCATCTCGGTGTAAGTAAACAATCTTTTAAACTACCGATACGCGTCCGTGCCTAATTCCAGAGCGAAGGCCTTCCCTCTCCGCCCCCGCGTGCCCGGGCTGATGGCCACAGCCCGCGTACAGCGCGAAAAAGGGCTCGGGGCGCTCCCGGCCCGCACAGCTTTAACAAACTCTAGCTGGGTAAAGAGTTCCCACATATGGGATCAGTTACAAGATCAGGGTCTGGGTGAATGGGGACAAAGCATACAAAAAGTGCCAGATGCTAAAGACATTAAAATATAAACATTTCCCAAGGAAATTCTTTTGTTCTTTACTGAGCAAAGAATAGCAGGGAAATCTTGGTCAAACTTTGAAAAGGTTTAGGAAGTTGGCCTATGATTTTTTTCAAAAGTATGTCACTTCTTCATGATCAGTAACTGTGCCAGGTAGGGGCTAGTGAGAAAGGTGATGAAAAATTTGGGATGTTCAGTAATCAGTTAGGTCATCTTCTTGCTGATATCTAAGCTACCCAATGGAATGTGAACAATTCATCAGTGATGTCTCAGGATTGTCAGCAAGCATCATTCAGCACCTGGGGTAGCATCCAAAGAGCAACTTTTCTCAATAAACAAAGTGAAAAATGTCCCCTGATTCTGCATGCTCAACATGAACATTAGGTCCAAGGGCTGTCAAATGTACCTGGCAGAGCTCACTAAATTTAAAACGTGAGCCGTGAATGCTCAGTACCTCTGAAAAACATGCCAAAGAGGAGTCAAAGACCCAAAATTAATGGACATTTAAAACATTGCTGAAGTGTGTCACTTCCTGACCATTGACAAGTGAAGCAGTAAATGAGAATCCTCCAGTCATTCTTAAACCTGAGTTTCCCCACACTCATGACTATCTACATCCAAGTCTATTAAAATGCAAATATATGAAAATTGATGGGAGTTTCAATTTAGGACAGATTCATCAGAAGAGAATCTTGTCTAGCTCCTACTTGACTGGACCCAGAGTAAAACAGAGCTGTTGGCATAAATGTGCCATAGTCTCAAAATTCACTCACAGATTTCAAATCTCTGTTCGTTATTTACAATCTTTATGGTTTAAAAAAACGCAGTGAGAATGGAAACTGCTGAATTGGTTTCATAAGGTTTCCTGTTTGTATCACAGGCTTCTGAATATTATTAGACTTCTTACCGTGCAAAGTATTTGTAGAGTCCTATTTCTCAGATGATGGTAGGGAGAAGATAGGAAGAGGAAAGGAGGGAGCACCACTTTCAGACTTAAAGCAGATTATTTTCTAGGAACTTTAAGAACTGATTCTGACCGTCTCTATAAAGACTGATTTTCAAACAGCATTCCAACAGTTGGTACCACACAAGTGGGGAGTATAACTTTAACATATAATCTTGAATTAAAAAAAAGAAAATAAATGAACCCATGTGGCAACAAACATTTAAAAACCTTTAGTGTCTGAGATACTCCTGCCTGATTTACAATGTGCTGCTTATCACTACTGCCAAAAAGACGCAGGAATTTTTAATGTATGAATTTTGGGAAACATTTCTGGAAATCTGGAAGATGACAGTTTTTCTGTCTTCACATCATGTGTCACCCAAAAGTTGCCATTGCACCTTCTTCAAAAAAGTAGTAGCTAATAAAGGGAAAGCTGCTCATCATAATTGGTATGCATAAATTGGAACAGAAGAATAAAAACAGTGACAAATCAGAGAATTCTTCATTACTCAGAATAGGGAGGGAGTTTTAAAAAAATGAAAGTCTTTCCAACAATCCCATGACAAAATTTTGCATGCTATTAGGACTCTAGGAAATGGGTACAGGACAGATAAATTGTGAGAGAACTGACATTTACTCTTCATAGGATCTCTGCCCCTCCCTAGTATTTAAGTAATAAACTATTATAAGATACATGATCACTTTCCAACCAGTAATAAGAAGCAGTTTTTGTATTTAGGTAGGGTTCTGACTAAAACTCAATACTTACCCACACCCTGGATTGTTTTGCACTTCTGCTAAAATGGTGTCTTGCAGCCCAGCTAAACTGTGTACTTTTGAAACATGATTGCCTTTCCCCATGTACACTGCTAAAAATCATAGGCTGCTATACAGACCCCAGAATTAAAATTTCCGGCATCTGAAACAAGCCATCACAAAATACCTAAATCATGAACTGTCTCACCTTACAGCTGAACATGTAGTGGCAACACATTTCACACATTCCTTATCATACCTGGATGCAAGGGCCAGATTTTAGCTAGAGGTTCCCTCCTAATCTATATAAGTGCCAATCTTGCTGCCTCTGCAGCCTGTTCATAAAGATCAGACTAAAACTCACATTACCTGCTTTTCCTTTCTTCTGGTCTCTTTTAACATCCACCTCCTCTGGCTGCAGCATTACTCTGGTGGGGTTTCCTCCTTGCCCAATCTTTGAAACACTCAGTCAGGGGGAGCTGCAAAATGGTGCGTACACTCACAGATGTTTTTTTCACTTCCTTATACTGAAGATCCTGGCAAAAAAACAAGCCACGTCTGAAATGTGCATTTTTTATTCTTCTCTGCAGATTTCACAGCTGGTCTGCAATCCAAACTGTAACAGCTGAGCTCCTTTAAGCTGGCTCTAAAACCCACTCAGGGAGCAGGAAGAGCTCTAGGCAACACCTAGGACTGAGTCAGTTTTTAACGTAGGGAAGTGAAACCTCCCAGAACCCAAATGCGTTTTGTGTCACGTAGCTCAAATTGACTCCTGGAAAAACATGGCTCTCTCTGCCTGCTCAGAATGGAGAAGAGTTTCTCATAGTGACCAAATTATTTTTAGTTATTTTTTTGTTGGGAATGAATTCCATTGCAGAGCTGCATAACCTTTTAATCCACAAAAATTCTTGTGGCAGGCCTCCAAAAACAAAGAAAAAAGAAGCAGACAGGCATTTCCCAAAACTCCCTGACCACAGACAACTATGAGGAAACTCTCTGTTAAAAACAAAAGCAATACCACAATAAAAAACAGAGTCCCAGGCAGATGAGCGGATAAGAAAGCTTTCATATTAACAACCTCCAGTTAATCCACCCCTGAAACACACCGAGGCAAACCTAGCTGTTCTGAACAGTGGAAAGACTTCTGGGAACCTTGATTTGGAAAAAGTAGTCAGTGTTGAACTCATCATCTCAGTAACAAGTCCCGTGTGGGTGGCTGTTCCTCTTTGGAAAGATCTCAGGATTCCGCTTGGGTTGAGGTGAATAAGGCTTTGCTTTGGGGGCCAAAGTTATGGGGTATGATTTGAGTAAATGTGTAGCTTGGCAGACAACTTTAGAGTTTAGTTCAGGATTTTGGTTTAGGTGGCTAGTTTGAGTCAGCATGGTTCAAGATTTGGCATGAAGGTTAAGAACATAAGCAATGACACACTGGGTCAGACCACATGTCCATCTAGTCCAGGTTCTTGTGTCTCACAATGGCAGAGAGTAGAAGCTAAGAAAGAATATTTATGCAAGGTCTATCCATACTGATCTGTTCCCTGCCCCTCTCCCCTTCAGCATTCAGAGCCTGGGCAGATTGGTTCAGGTTTGGACCAGAAGTACTGATGCTTGGTCCCAGGATACAATTTGGGTTTGGTGAGAATGAACCTTCATTCCAGATGTCAGAATCAAAGGAACTGGTGGAAGAGTGATTCCGCCCTTCTTTAACAGCCTGCTGCTGTCTTCTAAGCGTTTGTATAAGCACATTATACAAGAACTTCACACTAGCTGGAAACTAAACTCCAGATCCATTTTAAAACCCTGGGCCTCATCCAGAAGTGCATGGATGTTTGGTTCCCTGGGGACAACTAGCGGCGGCATACCTTGTGCTGCCACTAATTGTCCCCAGGGAACGCCTGTGCCACATATGCTTGTGGTCTTGGGGGCTTCCCAGGGCTGCAGCCACGTCGCTTCTGCCACACAGAGCCTGGGCGACAGCAGAGTGTGGCTCTGGCTGGCCAGGCTCTGGCTTTGGGCAGCACCACACTGCTTTTTCCCCCCCACCCTGTGGGTTTTTTTGACCCCTGGATATCCAGGTGTCAACCCCTCCCTCCCTCCTGCCCCACAACAAAAACCCCTCTGTGTTGCTCCCTTGCAGCACGGAGAACAACTGAATGTGCAGTATATGGCACCGCAGATGTGTCTGGATATAGCTCTGGTGCCTACCCATCTGTATAGTTTTTTGAGTTAACCACGTCTCACTCTCTTTATGCTTGCTAAGCTCTGTGAGGATGCTTCATTCAAAAGGCTACTTAAGTCCCTGACAGCCTGGGACAGTATTTTCTATGAAACTTCACAATTCATGAGCATCCTCCAGTCAAAGAGCTCTTATTTGAGACTGAGCTGCTAGGAAAACAAAGTGATGGAACCATGTGGTACAACGCTGCAAATCACCAAACCTGGACGGTGTAATAGGAAGTGTGAGGGAACTCTGCTATGAAGTGGCTTAGCTCCTAACAGAAACATGCAAGCACTCATTAAAAATATACTGCTCACTTGTACTCAAATGTATTAGAGGGATGGCATTCAACAAATTTATAGCAACCTTTTTAGATTTGGTTTAATTTCTCTTTGCAGACATATTTTCCCCAAAGTCATTGGTTACTTCCTTGAAGAAATGTTTGGGACAGATAAAACTATTAAACTGACAGCAGCATACAAAGGTACTGTCTGATGTCTTCCTCCAAGTTGTTTTTTTTTTTGTATAACAGTTCTCATTCTCTATGCAAACATTTCCCTGGTCAATGTGAAAAGTGAGAAAGGCTCTGGAAATCCCTACTTAGTTTCCCATCACAATGTGATTTCAGACTCAGAGATCTAACCTCCATGACTCACCCAGCTGCATCTCATTTGGCATAAAAAGACTCTAAGACTTTTTATCCCTGTAAGAATCTGGGAGAATGAAGGTAGGGGGCAGTGCTTGAAAAAGAAAGTTGCACCCTTGTTATATTGAATGTTCTTTCTAAATCAAGAGATTACCAAAAGAAATGGACCTGTCACTGTGAAACGCATTGCACAGTACGCAGCTTGTATTTGTCCTTTATGAATGCAGTCTGGTCTGGATCAATATGTTGAGAGTGCAAATTACAACTGGATAGCCAATTGATAAAA